GAAAGAGAAATAAGGCGGGAGAGCACTGGGAACCGAGAGGTGGGCAGAGCTGAGCAGGAAGAATGATGAGCAGCGCCCTCCTACCAACCTAACCCCGGGACTGACCTGAAGGTGATGAGGTTGGTGTAGATGAGTGGGGGGCAAAAGAAGGCGAGAACCAGGGCCCAGATGGGCGTGGAGCTGTCCATCTCCCCCCACCACTTCTGTGTCAGCAGAGACTGTGGGGGTGGGGAAGGTTAGAGCCTGAATCTCCCCAGCCCTTCCCGAAGACCCCAGACGAGAACTGGCCCCCGGCTCCAGGGCCCAGAGCAAGTGCTCAACGTGGGGACCGCAACTATCGGGGTCCTGGCCTTTGACCATCTTCCCTCAGGTTCAAGCCGACAGTTATTAACACAACTAGAGGCCTGGTGCACAAAAATCGTGCACTGGAAAAGATCCCTCAGCCTGGCCTGTACCCTCTCACAGTCCAGGACCCCTTGGGGGATGTCCACCTGCTGGCTTAGGCCCACTCGCCCCTCCCCTCCCCCGGGGATTGGGCCTAAGCCGGCAATCAGACATCCCTCTCAGTCTGGGGCTCACAGTTTGGGATCCCTCGCTCCTTACCACCCGCCTGCAGTGGGGGCGGGAGAGGCTCCCACCACCACTGCTATGCTCACCAGCCGTGAACCAGGCTTCTGGCTGAGTGGCACTCCCCCTGTGGGAGTACACTGACCACCAGGGGGCAGCTCACATCCTAGCGATGGTCAATGCACATCATAGCAACTGGTTGTTCCTCGATCAGTCGATTTGCATATTAGGGTTTTATTATAAAGGACATGCCAGGTACTGGGCTAAGCACTCTGCATAGATTAGCTCACATAGCCCTCGCCACACCCCAGGAAGACAGGCACTAATATGTTCTCCATGATCACAGATAGAGCACAGGGGGGTTAAGATAAGGGCATAAAATAGACCCCATGAGCCAGGCCGGTGTGGCTCAGGGGTTGAGCGCAGACCTATGAACCAGGAGGTCACGGTTCAATTCTGGGTCAGGGCACATGCCCAGGTTGCGTTGTGCAGGCCGCCGCCAATAGATGTTTTGCTCTCATCACTAATATTTCTGTCTCCCTCTCCCTCTCCATTCCTCTCTCTAAAAACCAATAAAAACATATTAAAAAAACAAAAATAGACCCCAGTTTAACCATTGCTCGAAGCAAAGAACTCTGGGTAATTATTTGAAATGCCAATCAAATCATTCCCACAGCTGGGGGCGGGACTTCCTGTTGGGGTAAGCTGGACTTCCTGTTTGCTTGCAGAATGCCGGGTACTGAGGACAAGCAGGGCTTCCGGAAAGAGGGGAATTCCTGCAGGAAGGGCATTTCCTAACCCAGAGTTTCTGTCCCAAACACCAGGTCATGGGTGAGGCCATTCTCATGGCTGAGACCAGGACCGGGAGGGACTTGCTCGGGGTTCATCGGGGATCCTGTGTCGCCGGCCTCCGGCGCTCACCTGTACCCCGTCCTGGGCGAAGAAGGCGCGGGCATCGGCCTGCATGGCGAGCTGCAGGCAGGTGGCATCCCCCCAGAACGGGCAGCGCCGGAGGAGCAGGTGGGCAGCCCGGTCCTCGCTGCTGCGGTGGCATTCGCCAAAGAGGTCTGGGCGCGGGAGGGTCAGCCAGAGGCAGAGCAAGGAGAAGGAGGCCGTGTGAGCGCAGAGAGGAGGGGTGGGGGGAGAGCAGCAAACAGGCCCCTAGAGCCGAGGCCACGGCGTTGGAGCCCTGGAGAGACAGAGAGAGGTGGTGGACAGGGTCCGAGGGCGAGGAGGGGGGCAGCAAGCCTGTGATCAAGGGAAGGGACAAAGCCAGAGTTCAGGGTCAACAGAGGCCGGATAAAGGGATGTCCGTGGATGCATCTGGAAGACACTGGACAACAGGTGCAAAGGTCAGGCGTCAGACCAGCGGTTCTCAACCTGTGGGTGGCGGCCCTTTGGGGGTCGAACGACCCTTTCACAAAGCCTGTGATCAAGGGAAGGGACAAAGCCAGAGTTCAGGAAGTAACCAGGGTCAACAGAGGCCGGATAAAGGGATGTCCTTGGATGCATCTGGAAGACACTGGACACCAGGTGCAAAGGTCAGACGTCAGAGCAGCGGTTCTCAACCTGTGGGCCGCGACCCCTTTGGCTGTCGAACGACCCTTTCACAGGGGTCTCCTAAGACCATCGAAAAACACATAGATAATGACATATTGTTTTTGTGATGTATCATTATGCTTTCATTATGTTCAATTTGTCACAATGAAAAGACATCCTGCAGATCAGATATTTACATGACGATCCATCACAGTAGCAACATGACAGTGATGAAGTAGCAACGAACATAATGTTATGATTGGGGGTCACCACAACATGGGGAACTGTATGAAAGGGTCGCGGCATTGGGAAGGTTGAGAACCACCGTGTCAGAGAGTTCAGAGAGCAGGGGCGGGGCTGGTTAGAATGGCCTCAGAGATTAAGGACAGGCCGGGGAGCGGCTGGAGATGTCACCCAAAACGCCGGGGAGAGAGCTTCAAACGCCATCCCTCCACAAAAGCAACACACAAGCTGGCCCAAACTGCCAGAATCCACTTTTTAAAAAATTCTGGAGCCTCATATAAAGCGTACAACAAATAGGAAAATGCTTAATGAAGAAGGAAACTGTTAAATTTCAGTAAGCCCGTGGCTCAGGGGTTGAGCTTCGACCTGTGAACCGGTCACGGTTCGATTCCAGGTCAAGGGCACATGCCTGGGCTGTGGGCTCGATCCCCAGTGTGGGGCATGCAGGAGGCAGCCGATCAATGATTCTCTCTCATCATGGGTGCCTCTATCTCTATCCCTCTCCCTTCCTCCCTGGAATAAATATATATATATAATTTTTTTAAAGAGCACTGTGACATTTTAACTAACCCACTTGCCATTGCCAACTCCCCAGCTCGATGGCAGCCTGAAGGTGTGGGTTTGGGGTACCAGAAGGAGCAATGCAGATCTTTTTTTTTTTAAAGGGGAGAATGATTATTTTTATTTTGTAAATATATTTTATTGATTTTTTTACAGAGAGGAAGGGAGAGGGAGAGTTAGAAACATCAATGAGAGAGAAACATCGATCAGCTGCCTCCTGCACACCCCCCACTGGGGATGTGCCTGCAACCAAGGTACATTCCCTTGACAGGAATCGAACCTGGGACCCTTGAGTCCGCAGGCCCGCGCTCTATCCTCTGAGCCAAACCGGTTAGGGCAGCAATTCAGATCTTACTCTTAAGTAACTGTGGTTGTGTGTGCGGTTGTGTGCGGCTCCCTGAAGAAAACAGCTCAAGAGCTTGCCTTTGTTCCACTGTCCTTGGAACTTCCCCAGGACAGAAGTGGCTTCCCAGGTGGTGTTTGAAAGCGTTTAAAAATAAAGAGCGGCCCTCTTACAACTCAAGAACAAAAAAAAAGAGACAAAAGAATAGCAGCCCAGGTAGTAATAGACGTACTGAACAGCTCGGGAGGGAAGTGGCTGGGGAGGGAGAACCTGGGGGGACTCGGGGTTTATAAAGCTCCTGTGTGTACCAAGGGACTTAGAAGGCTACATGCATTGACAAGCCTGGATGCCTGCCCAGAAATGACTGGAGAAAGCTCCGAGCTTTCACTTCGGGCTGACCTTTAGGCAACCAAACCAGGAAGCAACAGATAAAGTAGAAGTGTAAACAGCCTGCCTGCGTGTTGAAAGACAGCTCCAACAGGGAGTGAGTCTGCAGGCTGGGAGGGTTTGGGTTTCTCTCCCCGCCCCCAAGCATTTAGGAAAATCTCTACCAAGTCACCAGCTGACCACTGAGCTAACAGAACAGGGACTTCAGTGGCCGCACATGACAAAGAGTACAGACTTTACAAAAACAGCTGAGAAAGGTCACTCAACCAACAAGCCAGAAGAAGAAGCAACGAGGAACCCTGGAGGGAGGAGGGAAGCTGATATCCAGAATGGCCACTTTAGAATAATATTAAAAATTCCAGCCGAAACCGGTTTGGCTCAGTGGATAGAGCGTCAGCCTGCGGACTGAAAGGTCCCAGGTTCGATTCCGGTCAAGGGCATGTACCTGGGTTGCAGGCACATCCCCAGTGGGAGATGTGCAGGAGGCAGCTGATCGATGTTTCTCTCTCATCGATGTTTCTAGCTCTCTATCTCTCTCCCTTCCTCTCTGTAAAAAATCAATAAAGTATATTTAAAAAAAAAAATTCCAGTTTCCAACAAAAAAAATTATGGGGCGTGCAAAGAAACAAGAAAGTGTGGCCCATTCACAAGAAAAGAGAAATTAATAAAAACTGTCCCTAAGGAAACTCAGACTTAGACAGACACTTTAAAGCAACTATCTTAAATATACTAAAAGAGCTAAAGGAAATTATGAAAAAGGAACTAAAAGAACCCAGGTAAATGATGTCGTATCAAGTAGAGAATATGAATAAAGAGAGAGAAATAATAATAAAAAAGTAAGCAAATAAGAAATTCTGGAGCCGAAAAGTGCAATGATTGACATGAAAAGTTCACCAGAAAGGCACAGCCGCAGCTCTGAGGAGGCAGAAGAGAATTTGTGAACTTGAAGAAAAACCAATGGAGATTATACAGTTGGAGGCACATAAGGAAAAAAGAACAAAAAATTAACAAGTCCCGAGAGGCTGTAGGACACCATAAGACATACCAATATATGCATAGTGGGATTCCCAAAAGGGGAGGATAGGCAGAAAGCAACAAAAGAACATTTGAAGATAAGATGGCCTAACACTTTCCAAGTTTGATGAAATACATGAATTTACGCATCCAAGAAGACCAAGGCATTCCAAAGAGGAAAATTCAAAGAAATCCACACTGAGAAAGAAATCAAATTGTTCAAAGTCAAAAAGAAAGGATCTTGAAAACAGCAAGAGAAAGAGAAGTGACACACAAGGAACCTCAGTAGAATTAACATGTAGGATTAAACACTTATATGTAACAACTAGAGGCCCAGTGCACATATTCGTGCACCGTTGGGGTCCCTCAGCCTGGCCTGCGCCCTCGCTCAATCCCGGACCCAATCGGTGCACAATCGGGGCCGGGGGGAGGGGCTCGTGCAGGAGGCAACCAATCAATGTGTTTCTCTTTGTCTTTCCCTTTCTCTTTCACTCTCCCTAAAAATCAATGGAAAAATGTCTTTGGGTGATGATTAAAAAATAAATAAAGTCTGTATTCACCCCTTGACCTGATTGGCTGAAGAGTCCTGTCAAGATATTTCTATTGCATATAGGCATAAAAATAAGCTCTATCTTAGATCCGATTTAACTCCCACAACTTTTTAATATATTTTTTAACCTTGCAACTTCTCAAATGTGTCCCGACACCTCTATCATAAATTGCAAGTGTACCAATGTTTAAATGACGCCCGTTGGCTACTGAATAACGTCTAACTTCTTTGTACAGACAGTTTGAAAGAAAGAGGTTAATTCCCATGTATGCACAAGAGAAAGGCCCAATATATATTGTTAACAGAAAAGGCCAGTTACAAGAAATGCATGACATTGGGGGGTGGGGGGGTGGGGGGGAGGAAGCAGCAGCAGCAGCTGGAGTCCTACACCGGGAACAGAGGACTGGGTGGCGGGGGTCAGGGTGACATCAGAGGCCACGGGGACACCGGAGTCTGGGAGAACCGAAGGACAGGGACGCGGAGAGCAGAATCAGCGACCAAGGCAGCACTCACTATCCACCTGCTGTAGTCAGGCCCTCACGTCGGCTGCCTGGACAGCCCAGCGTGGCTTCTTACCTCCCTTGTCTCTCTCTAGTCTTGCCCCTTCTACATCGCAGCTACAACAAGGTATATAAATGCAAGTGTACTGCCCCACCGGGAACAGAGGACTGGGTGGCGGGGGTCAGGGTGACATCAGAGGCCACGGGGACACCGGAGTCTGGGAGAACCGAAGGACAGGGACGCGGAGAGCAGAATCAGCGACCAAGGCAGCACTCACTATCTCCCAGAAGTACAAGGCCATCTGCGCCCTGTTCAGGAGCAGCGCCCAGAGAAACAGGTCGCTCCAGGGGGTCTGCCCGAGCACCGCGTCCAGCATGAGCTCCGAGGCGGCCCTGTGGCAGAGCAGCTGGGACTGCAGGCAAGGGGGCGTGGTTAGGTGTGGCCCCGCCCCCATCGGGCCCTGCCCCATCACACACCGTCAGCTGGCCACACCCCCTCACTGCGTAGCCATACCCCTTCACCGCGTAACCACACCCCCTCCCAGCGTAACCACACCCCCTCATAGCGTGGCCACACCCCTCACAGCGTAGCCACACCCCCAGCCCTCTGGGTCTCCTCCACCAGCATCCCCGGGTCCTTACGCTCTCCGGGCAGCCATGGTCGCTGTCCCTGCAGCCGTGGTCGCGGTGGGGATCCCCCGCGGCCCACGCGCGGTACCTCGGCGCGCACATCTCACC